CTGTCACTTCAGAAGCAGTAAAACATTCAACAAAATATTGCTCTTATTAAACTTTAAATGAAAATAGAATGGAATATTATAGCGCCTTCTGATTTTCACTTAGCAGTCATTTGCAATAACGCGTAACATGTTTTCCAATAGGAGAAAAGTGTTTAGTTCAATTTAGTCATTTTTTTTTTCATTTTACAATAAAGATCGACTTATGATGTTTCAAATATGCAAGTAAAAGTTTGCATTCTTTTTAGTAGACCCCATCGTGTAACTGTTAGGAAGTAGCTTGCCAGGCGCTTATTACCTCGCCTGGTCGGAGGATGCTTCTTTTCCGATCTAAGGGAACGTTACTCTGTTCCCTAAAACTTTAAACTAGCTGACCCAGTAAACTTCGTTCTGCATCAATTATAACTAATATATCATCCCTTCCTTTTATATCCAGAAATATTTCAAGACCACAATAAGCCATATCAATCCAGCCGTTCTCGAGTTTTAGCGGGACTAACGAATAACAATTCATTTTTACGCATAAAATAACAGATACGGTTTAAATGTACTTAAAATAAATTATATCCTAAGTACCATAATCTTCAGCTTTCTTCCACTTACCTAAGCCATAATGATAAAACAGTGACTTGAACACCAAACAGCGTAATTGCAATAATTTTCTCTTGAAACTCCGTACAATTATTCAACGTCAAATTAAATATGAATTACAACTAATTACATGTTGAAGTTATGGTTTTCCTAGTCAAACAAAGTAAACAAGTACGCTTCATATAACGTCATTCGCATTATGATTATTTAAACAGGACTTTCCATGTTATCCATAAATTCTCCTCAAATTTATTTCGTTGCGGGATCCAAGACACCCTGAGACGCGCCGGATTTCAGTGTTCCGGTGTTTTCGTGGTTGTATCCCCTGTAGATCCTGGCTTACAGGAGTTGCAGCGGTTTTGGGAGGTCATGGCGGGGTTATACTGATGAAAGGCTTAATTAAAACTTACATACAATTTCACATACTCAACACACCCAGATTCAGAGCCACTTTGTCCGTCACACAAAGAGTTTTTTCGTGCTGGATCGAACACGTGACACGTTCCACCGCACCCAGTTGCCTAGCCTCCGCGTCACCTGTACAGTCTAAAATTCTCTCTTAATACGTCATGAAGAATACATATAATGATATGGTAAATCTTCGGAGAGATATGATAGTCAGTTTGTCTCCAATTTTATTTCTAAAGATTTTGAAAGAATCCCGTCATTGGCTAACCGTAATTACACCTTTAAAAGACCTCTTATAATAATTATTATTAATTAAAAGTATCTTCAAAGCTTGAAGTAAATTAGACTTTAAGCAAGCTTCTAGACTTGCAAGTTTGGGTACTCATCAGAATTTAGGAAGCACAATATCAGACACGAGACTGACTTCCCTATTTTTAGGGAAAATTCTAGATTAATAATTTTATAATACTTTTCCTGTACATTAAAATCTACAAGTTTTGTCACTACAAACTTTATTGCGTGCAAAATGTCAGATCTTCTTCAACCTTTCCTCAAGGAAGGTCTATTTTTGCAAATAAAGTGAGAGGAAAACTGACATTTGACGTGTTTAGAGTGCCAAAATGAGAAATGTTGTAGGAAGTCGGGCAACGGAAGCGAGCTGGCCGCCATTATTCATCTCGACCTCGCCTTTCGTTGTCTGTGCGTCTGTGAACGGAATATCAATTGTCTATGATTAGGTTATTAATTAATTTGTCACATAGGCTTACATACTAAGTTATAATTAATGCTGTGGTTGGTACACGATTATTTTTAAGAACGATTCGTTTATTACGTTAACATCAACAGACGGGGTCCTAAATGTAGTTCTGATGTTTAGCCGGGGTTACTGGGTAAGCGCAATGAGGCACCGCGGCCTCGGCCTAGAGCATGAGAAGGAACGGGGGTTTTAGTCAGTAAGAGACATTTCCTCTGGCCTCACCCTGGGTGGGAGAAGTAATTTAATGACTCAAAATAAAAGCATCCAATAAAGCTTCTAAAATCAAAATAACACTTGCTTTAAGAAACTAAGAAAACTGATTTTCTCAAATCTGCTGAATCTATTAGTACCTGAACCAATCGACAGGTGTCGCTAGTTGTACAAAAACAGCGAAACACGGCATCAGATAATGTAGTACCTACCACTTTGAACGGGTTATCTTGAACTCAATAAAATTATTTACGCAAATGATAAAAACTTAACTCCCTAGCCAGATAAATATCTATGCAGTTATTTTTGTTAGATAAATCATATACTTGTCTGTCATATATCTTGGAATGATAAGGAAAAGATGCTTCTTCCCACGGTCGTGGTTTGTGTATCGTTTTGAATTCTACAAAAAGTATGTATGTTTTTTCTAATTCGGTAAATCTTGCGTTGAAATTATTATAGTTTTCTTCCCAATGGCCAAGTTTTACTGCAAAATAAAATGCACTTAGTATTTTGTATATTACAAGATAGAGGTACCTTCATAATTTATCAGAAAAAATAGTCTCCAAATTTTTGCTGTTCTCTTAAATATTGTGAGACAAAGTACAAAACCAGCGTAAAACAGCTTGCGTTGTTTCGTCATGTGATTGATATATATCGATCTTAGCCCTCCATTCCTAATCTCCAAATCCCTAACCTTCGAAAAGGCAACACACTTCAAGTTCCCTGAACAAAAAGTTGTAGATCACGCAGTGTTGTTCCGTGCAGGAATCGAAACCGCCCCACGTTGCACAAAATTGTTGTTCCCGGTCTGGGTGTGATGTGTATGTGAAATTGGTAAACATACCTTCGACACAGGAGAAAATCCCAGTGTTAGGCATATTTTTTAAATCTTCCTCATGTGTATTAATGTAGGATGGTTTAGTTATTTTTCCATTTAAACCCAGGACAGAGCACACACCTCAAATCACCCGTTACGCCAACGCCATCTTGTTTTTTTTCAAATCCTATTCCATCCTTTCTCTTTTTTACACACATGCCGTCTCTCTCTCTCATTTCATGCTCGCACTAATGGTTACAACCCTACATTAATATTGTATGCATTTATATATTAATACATATTTATCAAAAAGTTATCATAATAAATGCATGTGCACCGATATATTTGCAATCCAGTTAATTTATCTAAATGATGTAGATGTATACAGATAGTAGGTTTTACCCATAACATAGGTAAATAGTCAGTCCGTTGGTAGGTACACTGATTTTTGATCAGGATAAGATTTCGTTATCAACTTAATTATTGACAGACTGCTAATTATCAGTTCTGGTTGACACCAGATTCAACTGAATGAGGCTATAATTCAGTCAGAATCAATTGTAATCCTCCTTCGTTCCTTTAGTTCCTGAGTTCCCCCATCCTCAAATCCCTTACCCCAATCTCAAATCCCTTACTCCCCCCCCCCCTTTCCAGGGTGTCCGGGCGTTGCCAATTGCTTACTATCAGAAGACCCGGCTGATTGTTCGCTGTAGATAAGATTCAATTTGTGATTAAAGGATGAGTTTTGATTTTTCCCATGAGAATGACATCATGTATGGGACCATAGAGAAATTTGGTTAATTTCTCTATGTACATATGGGACTTATAACATGGTACGTTAAAACAAGGGATGATAAGTGATCAATGTACACCCCCACCAAATAGCAACATTGTATCGCAGCCAGGATCTGACCAGTAGTTGAAACGATTTTTGATCAGTGAGAATATGACACTTTATTATAATCATCTTTCCACTCAAAATCCTCCATGTTTGTAAGTTGTTATTTAACAACTACAAGATCAATATTAATTCTTAAAGTGGTCTATTTAAAAGTTTCTAAATGAAAATATGCTAATATTTTACGCAATAAAACCACCCTTATCCCAGGACAAAGTTACACCTTTAAAATGGGTTTCCAATTGCACAAAAATCCCTGCGAAATTGCATCCAAATCAATTCAGACGTTTAAGAGTTACAAATAGACAGACCGAATGAATGCCCTTAATCATCACTACTTAGTATATGTAATTATTCAAGTATGAAATATAAACAGATAATAATGTTAATAATGTTAGAACAATCTGTGGGAACAAGCGTTTTTATTATGAAGATAAAATGATTGAACAAGGAAAATCGATATTAGTACTCGGCATATTTTTTATCTGTGGCATGCAATTGTGATTACGATTGTCGTATTCATCTATAACATGTTTTGTTACTTTTCAGGATATTTCAAACTAACTATATTATAATTACAATAAAGATTAATAAATCTTCGTATGTAGAATAGATCCAGTAGAATCGACTGTCAATGTACGAGTATTTGTTTAGCTCAAATCTAGAGAACAGCTGCACCGATTTTGCTATTGTTTAAAGAAGGGTCTTATAAAAATGGGTAGAGTAGATAGCTTGGTATTTCTACACTACTGAGTAGGTAGGGAAGGTTATGGTAAATTTTGATACTGTAACCTGAGTAAAAGTAAGTACGATAGAGTAATAGCGAAGCCACGGGCAAAAACTGGTCATAAAAATATAATCCAGTGAATTCTTCTTTCCCTAAAATATTGTGCCGTACCGATACTTGTTATACATACATATGTATACTTGCATGTAGGAATTATTGTACCAATGTTTATCTTGAATCCTGCTAAGTAGGCTCTTAACTGTTTTTAAGTATTCAGGTGCGTGATAACCTATGATTAACTCTCTTGAGACTCTGTACATCCATCCACTTAATGATAATGACGTAAAACAAAACATAAGCGATAGGTACTTGATGTCCAGAATTCCTAAAATTTGCATAATACGCGGGAAATTTAGTATGCCCAATCCATTATTTTCCTCAATTTTTCAACGCGCTTTTGACTGCAAACTGCATCATTCCTTGCCAAACTCTTAACTTATGATAAATACATCAGTCATGGGGTTCCACCTCCACGTATATGGGAAAAATACCAAAGTATCAGCGTATACTAACACGAGGTCTTCGTCCACAGATTTGGCGGCAAAAAGTCGGGTGTTTGCCAAGCATCCACCCTCGAGCCCTGCTGAACGTAAACACAGAACGTAACACATATCGGGTGACGTCGCGTGACGTATGGAAGATAGGAATTACGCTTACGACCCGGTTGGTCAGACCGGTGCGCCAGTCAACCAGCAAGCGTACAGAATGGAGGCAGGACAACTGTGGCGGCAATATGTCATCGCCGGAATCGGTATGTCGAATTTTTTTATTTTAATATTTTTAATTCAAATTATTTTATTCAACCTCTTTTAAAGTGAATGTGTGTTTCAATTTTTTTATAATAAAAAAAATTACAGTGTCGAAATTCATAAATAATGCGCGCCAAAATTTCGAATTTAGAATCGTGTTGTTTTTTATCGAAGTTTTTGTGAATAAATATTTTCAAGTTGCAATAAATTAAAGTGAACAATAACACATAAAATCCGTGTGAATAATTATTGTAATTAAATAGTGGACGTTTTTAAAACAATGTGGAGTGTTGAGATGGTAAATTCAGTTTTAATCGACACGAAGATTACAATAACAACATGGTGCGATATTACTGGCGGAACGAACAGTGAAATAATAACTTTATAACGACATAATGTCACCATAAGTTGTCGATTAGATCGCATAACAATATAAATGAAACGAGAAATAGTTTTTTTTTTCCATTGTAAAATAAAACTTCAAGTGTTTAAATCTATACGCGATTAATAAAATATCTTTACGTAATATAATAGCCATAAAAATTATCAGACTAAGAAATGTTAATACAACCAATTTTCAAATGTCATCGTTTTAAGTATAATAACAATTTTATAAAATACCTATTAATATTAGTCGTATTATATTTGATAGGTTTTCACCGCGATATTTAGTTGTAGTAATGTGCGATAAGCCGAAGAAATTGTATGAGTGTGCCTAATAAGTACATTGTCTCATAAAATATGCATGAATAATTGTGTTTGGGTCAACAAGTAACAATAGAAGTCATCGTGTTACTAGGAAAATAAACTAACCAGTTACAACAACGATGCTTCGACACCAAAGGGTGGGTTCGACTGGAGTGATACCACGGCCTCACTGAAAACCGGCGTGAAACAATTGTGTTTCGCCGTGTGAGTAAGGTTATCCTAATACCCAAAAGGCCAAAACCGCACTCGTTTGGTACTGAGCATGTGCATGGGTGGCACCGACTGCCTACTTACCATCAGGTAATTGGTCTGCTCGTTTGCCCACCACACGAAAAAAACATCATGTTCGAAATTGGTTTAAGATTGTCTTAAACGCTAACTGTATCAAATAAAAACAGCATTGAATTCCTATATATGTATGTACTTTAAATATAAAGTATTTTTTGCAACTTTCAAAAAGGAGCGTTCTTAAAATGCCGGCAACTCAACTATAACTTCTCTGGTGCTGCAGGTGTTCTTTTGCGGCGCTGATAACTATTACCATCAGGTGATCAGCCTGCTCGTTTGCGTCTTATTCCATAAAAAATATCTGCTTGATGTTGGACCTCTGATAGGTGATTAATGTGTTTATAATCAATTTCCAATGTTTTCGCAGTTAGTTTATAATATGGCCCTGATAGATATATAAATAAGTGGTTAATGTTTTGGTTAATGTTGATAAGTTCGCGAATGTCGAATGCGATCAAATTGCATCATAACAACGAAGATAAAGGAGGTTTAGAACATCTATTTTATAATTAGATCATGAATTATATTAAATTCAATTCGTCTTCTATAGAGCAAAATATATTTCAACATTTACAATATGAAAATGAAACAAAATATGAAAATGAAATATATTATTTATGTAAAAATGAATCGCAAAATGTTTTGGTAAGCCAATATCTCTACAACGCCTAGATCAATTATGCTCTTTCTTTTTTCATTGTGGTTTGTAAGGAAGAAAACAATATTTTTTTTCTTAGGATACTTGAGTGGCTTAATGGGCAATAGTGACCCTTATGTCGTTAGCGAGGTAGTTGAACTCATGCTAAGCTAGAGCGCTAATTGCGAATACATTTCCTCCCACCTTACATAGTATAATGTCATTTAATAAAATCAGGTTTGTAATTACAAAAAAAGTTCTTTTGTCATAATAAACATGACTCTATGATCGAACGACTGACAGAGGATATTAGTGCTCTCTGACAAACCTGGACTTTTTAAAACTGAGATAGTGATATTCTGGAAAACCTTATACGAAGGAGGCTTATAGCCCAGCATGAGATTGGCAAGGGTTAAAGATGATGAAGTAAACATGTCTATCCGACACGGAAACTGACCTTAAAACTCCTTTAATTACTTTTCTAGACACTCTACCATACAATTCAAAATTGTGTTAAAAAGCTAAGCGCAAATCTCCAAAACATCTTAAACCGATGTCGCTTATTCTTTTTTCTTGTATTTATGACTGACATTATTAGAAGATCCTCAATTAAAATAGAGGAGATACAGGAAATAGCAAACTTATTCGCTTATTGATGGTTTACTACGGAAATAATAAATGACATGGACGTAGTTGAAAAATCGTACAAACCAGAGGCGGGTCACTAGTTTAAGATGAATCTGTAGCTAAGACCACTTCCTGTAATGTTTCTAATTGTCACTAAGCAATCTACTAATGAGCACTATCCCGCAGAATGACATGAATCATTGCATAATTTCTGGCAACCGTCCCTACACGGGTTGAACGTACGATTATTTCTTAGATTAGGTCCGTGTTATAATGTTTATATTAATATAGAAAAGAAACATGTTTTCTCTCACCACGCCCTTAGGAAACTGTCTACACCTAATTGACTTTTTTTTGGGCAACTGGCTGTGTCGCGGGTTCGATTCCCGCACGGAACAACTCTTTGTGTGACCCACAAATTGTTGTTCCGGGTCTGGATGTCATGTGCATCTGAAATTGAATGTTTGTAACCGTACCCACGACACAGGAGAAAATCCCAGTGGGGGACAACGTTTTTTTAAAAAAGAAAAGAAAAGAAAGAAAAAAGAAGAATAAATTCAAAGAAGGAAAGATACTTCCTGTGATGGGGATGGCCATGTGTGGCTGATTAAAACAAGGTCAAAATTCGATCTGCGCGTCCGCCATATCCCATTAAAAGGGAAACACATTTAGCAATTTTTGTACCTATTAAAGTGCATCCTTGCTTACGATATGGTACTTATTGTCTCCTTACGCAACATATTATAACATTCAGTAATAAACTATATACGTAATATGAACAATGGAGGTAATAATTACATGAAGATCTTTCTACAAATATTTAAAACAATGCCATTAATAGACAGACTGTTCCGTTATCTGATCTCAAACAGAATTATGTATACAATTGTTTGTTTACATATTGAAATGTAGGAATTGTTTCAGAGACGAGGTAGCAACTGACAATATTTGGCACTTGAGTATTATATCTTGTTGTATTCAATCTCTTAGTACATGGTAATTAAGTGGGATCGCGAATTTATGCGTGTCAATAGATGGGAAGCGTTTTGGACCAAAGTTAGATATGCACCATCTATAAAAGGCTTGGGGAAATTAAGATATAAATTATATAAAGTCCCTAGGATAACTTATTCTTTCATTATCATCATCATCAGACTGTTTCCGTCCACTTCTGGAATTAGGCCTCTCGTTTGCACGCCACAGAGCTCGATGTTCAGCTCTTTTCCTGCAGCCATTCTATGAATATCGTCAGTCCACCTAGCTAGACGGCGCCCTTCAAAACCTAGACGTGATCTCCACTTCAGAACAGTTATATAAACTAGCTTTTGCTCGCGATTCCGTTCGCGTGGAATAGTGACTTACTGCAGATTTTTTGTATAAAAACTATCCTTTGTCCTTTCTCAAGTTCCAAACTATGTCTGTACCAAATTAAATAGATAGTATAGATTAAATGCTACGCTATTTTCAATTTCATAACATTTCACCAGGATTTTAGTATGCATGACGTAACGTAACTAGAGTGCCTACTGTTGACGTCCATAGAATGGATAATTTAGGCAGATAGATATGCAAATATAATGCATTTCCTCATTTAAATACACAAGATACTTCTGCTTATAAAGTACTCAATGATATAGAAATTTTTAGATGACTGAACATAGGTATCGTAGCTCATGTAGACAATAGACCACCACAGACGGGGTCCTATAGGGCTGATGTTCAGCCGAGTTTGTGGGGCAAGCGCAATGAGGCACCGTGTCCTCGGCCTAGAGCAGGAGAAAAAACGGGGTGGTTTTTAGTCAGTCTGACACTCCCTCTCACCGCAACTTGTCGCTTGACACTTTAAATAAGTAAAAAGACATAATTTGACGATAATATAATTAACAAACTTTAACTATAAGCAAGGTTTTGCATCAAAAGTTGTTTTGCTAGTTTGACTAGGTACACGTTTGTGATTGCTATTATGTATATGCCTTTTGCGATATTTTCCCATTGGTCTCACTTACAATGATTTCAGACTTTTTTTCATATTGAATGAACTATAAGAACGATCATTTTTTTATAACTTGCTAAATAAACTTGCAAGATAACCTCATTTTTATCTAAGTACGACTGTAGATTTATGACTAGCGATTTTTACGATTTGTAAATACACACTACGATATCAAATAATAACATTCACAAGTAAAATTACTTAACATTTATTTGACATTTAGGTAATAGCGATCCACCCTGGCTTCGAAAAAGGTGCAGTGCTGTTACAAAATTTCTCTACTATTTGATTGACAACATATAAACTTCTTCAGTCACTCTATCTATAAAAAATTGCATCAAAATACATTCGGTAGTTTTATAGATTTAAGCATACATAGGGATATAGGGGCATATAAAACGAGTTGGTTTTATACTATGTAGTAGGTAATGATATACGCGTTTAATTGGAATGCGACATACTTATGTCAAATTTTGCCGCCAAAACAGTTTGACGAAGCTTAACCAAGATAATATTACATTTTGTTTGCTAACCTATAGTTACAATGTGTTGTGATAAGCCACAGACGAACAAATTACCCTATTTTTAGCTCCTCACCGTCTCCAATAACCTAAATTGCAAAGAAGCCAAAAAGTGTAACACCAGTTTTAACCAATTTTTCGGTACGACCAACTTTCGGATCGCATAAATAGAATAGTATTTTAGCTTAAATAATACCAGCTATTCGGGTGAATTTAAAGATCGACGCC